CCCTTCTCGCTCTCAGAGGATTTCCTAAAAATTTGCCGTCAGCTTGAATGTGAGGTCATCTACGGCCAACTATCAGAAATAGCTGAACTGCAAACTGGGGGAAGCAACAAACGGAGAACTTCTCCCCCTTAGGCCAACTGAGTTCCTTTCACTTTTAACGACCGGTCAAGACCCCTTCCCTTCAGCGACCCTTCATCTCTCCCTCTAGCGACCCAGTAAGGGTGCAGTATCGTCGGGAGCATCCCATAAGGGGAGGGAGTGCTCTTTCTCTCGTTTTTCTGGATTTCCTGACTTTTCTCGTTTTATGTGCGCTATATAGCCCCGCCCCAACTCCCAGGAAGTTAGGAATCATAGGTAGGTTACCGAAAAGAATTTTGAGGGGGGGGGGGTCGCATTGACATCACAGTTTTATACTCTGGCCACAGTACTATCCTCGTTGGGATCTCCCCGGCGTACGACGTGAGGCACAGTTACGTGGTTTGCGTGGGTGGAGGCAGTTGATCAGGTCAGGGTGTTTTTCCGCGTAATTTTGAAACCTCCGTTCGTCCTAAATAGGTCAACCTTTTCATGTTTCTGGAGATGTCCCATTAGAACGAGACTTGTCTGGAAACTGGGAGCGCTGAATTACATCCTGCAGTTAGTCATTATGTCCTGCATTGACTTCACAAATCGTTTCCATGGCTCCATACAATCCATACAGTCCTCGTATTTGTACGAAACTTGGGTACATGGCGCACTCCAAGAAAGGGCAACTCCCCTTGAGCGTCACCTAAGCAGCTTCAGACGAATTATATCAGCTTTTAAGAGGTAGATATTGTTTATACTCGGGAAGAACTTTGCTTTTATAGTACCGAACGATCGGAAACGTTCAATCAAGAAACCTAACCTTGCTTGGGTCAAGCCACTCTACTGTACTCGTGCCTCCAAAACCTGGAACTCGAATGTCCACTCCTGGCATATCCGACGACATACCCGTTGTCGAGTTGAACACCAACCTGTCAAGTAACATTGTTGATATAAACGTAAAACTAGGTAACCGAGGAACGCTCATTTCCTGTCCATCTACCCCTCTTTTCGGGATGATGTTTGGTGAGCTTAATTGGGGCCTGATGAGCACGCAAAGAGGCAGAAAATGGGCGTGTCCAAATCGTGTCTCGTGCCCTCCCCCAACTATCTAAGGACCATTTCTGTCTAAAAAGAAGACGAAAGAATAAGAAAACATTCTCTACAATCATATTATCAAACCAGCAATCGATAACACGCGTGTGAAAGTTCGAGTTCTAACGCATAAGATCGAAGTAGTCAGCGGTCGTGTTAAGGCACGATGTTAATATAACCACCTTCCGGTTTGCCAAGTGAGATTCCTTCCCAGTTGGACATTTGTCATCGCGGTCACCGGGAACTGAACAAACAGCCACTAATCGATAAGCTACCCTACATCCCCCCATGCTAAATTCACTAGGACCCCTCGGCTAGCAGTTTTGCTGCCTTTCTGGATAAAGACAGTGCAACTAGGTATGATCTACTGAGTATACAGGATGCAGTGGCTGCTCTATGAAATCCTTCCTTTGTGTAATGGTTGGCATACATTCGGACCAAGGAGTGCTCACGAATAGATATAAGTGATATATGCCAATAAATAAGTCGAGGATCATCTGAAACTATCGTACGTCAAAAAACATGTACCAACTGGAATCATCTGAAACTACTATAAAAACCCGAATTAGCCGGTGGTGTCAATCTTCCAGAAAAAAAAACTAAGGCACAATAGAGCAGAGCGCGCCCCAGGAAATGAAAGCTCCTTTCAAAACTGCTATAAACCTGAATGGGACTATTCAGACTTATACACTCGACTTATACTATTCAGACCCATTCAGACTTGTGGCGTGGGGACTATTTTGAGGATCAAACAATCAAAATCAAGCACTTCAACTCTATTATTTTGCAAGACAGCTCAACTAGGATCGTGAACACCCGTACACTCACCAGGACGGTCCTGGCCATAACCGAGGTGAGTGGGTAGACAGCTGCAGTAGCGTGCCACTCAAAAGTCTCTACCCTCGAAAGTGTATGTAAGCACGCTGAAGGAAATGTATATATAAAGGAGGAGAGTAGCGAGAAGTGGCAGAGCGCAGACAAGTAGCGCGTTCGGCTATGGCCACGCGTGAGCACGAGCGATTCTGCAGCAGAGGACCCATTCGCCCCGCACATGGGAAGGATCGCCCACAAAGATAAGTGTAATGCCTGTAATTAAAAACAGCTTCGGGTTAGTTAAAAAAATATTCCTACATAATTGAACGCCTCCAGCTGTGTGTAGCTATGTCGATTAAATAGATTAAAGCCATGAAGCGAGGACGTTGCGAGCCCCAAAGAGCCCGCACACCACAGTTGCCCCTTGTTTGATGACCAGTGTGTGCGGTCATGCAACTGATTTTGATACGATACCAGTGAACTAGGATGGCGCAGTTCGGCGACGGCGGAGGGGGCATTTTGCACTTTTGCTACTTCCATCGACTGTCGACCCATCTAGAGAGCCTTTTCGTGAGTTGACAGGTTTCACCATTGTGGCTCGATGAGCTTGCTCCAGCTTCACAGGAGTTCACAGGTTCATCAAGTAAAGTATGCAAACCGGAACTAGTGGAGCAATGAAAGTGCAAAATGTCCCCCACCCCCCGTCGCCGCACAGCGGCCAAAGAGGATTTATCTGAAACAATGATACTTTGAAATTTTCCGTTCATTTCTTCGAACAATCGCTGAACCCAACGCGCCATTTTCAATGTTTCCGTTCTTTATTGCTGGCGAACTTTTGCAACCTAATTTCGTCCTGGACTGACTTGAGCTTCGTTCGCTCTTGAATCTCGTGAAAAGTAGCTCTGAAGGAGCAACTGGTTGATCACCAAAATTGGAGGGTTTTTCATTCCTACACGAATGCATCATTCGTGGCCGTTGCAAAGTATGCGTCATACTTCGACCAAGGAAAAGTGCACGAAGAGGAGCAACCTTCATTGAAATCACACCCTGTGGACAACTGGTGGATACAGAGGCGGAGCCAAAAAATGCACGTGCACGAGACAAGTGTGGCGACGTGTGGAGTGACGCCTTATGAAGAAAATCGAGATGACGAAATAATGTGTTAGTTCTACGGCAATAATTCGAATTATTGAACTGAACTGACTTTTACTTACTGAAAAAAAACTCTGAAACATAGTTGGTCAGTTTTGCCTCTTCCCCAGACGAACCATTGTTATTTCGTCTAGCCACGACTCATCGTCATCAGCTCCTAGTTTAATAGGTTCGCGAAATCACAAAAAAAAACAATTTTTTCGTGATTTTCGCAAGCCTAAGGAGGTACAGAGCTCAACATATCAATAAATGAACAGAATAGAGTGGTCTGAATTCTGTGGATTCTTTTCACATGTACGTAGGAAGTAGGTGAGCCTGTGAAGATAGTGCAATTTAAGTGCCACTTCATTGACCAAGAAGAGACGGAAAAGCAAAAGATTAGGAAAGTACTTCGCGAGCTAATAAGCTTGGGAAGCGCGCTTCAGCATACCAAGTCCCGTAAGCTGTATACAGGTGATGTGTACACGAAAAGACAAGAGAAAAAACGAAGACACATACACACATTGACAAGCGCTTGGAGGTGTGTATCCCCGCAGAGGTTATCAGCACCCGTATTTCGTAACATGTAAGTGAATGTGACTGATGAGAGAACACAAACTGCTCGGTATTTTGAGGTGGCAATGAACCGACCAGTGCTGACCGGCAATGAGGACGAAAACACGACAGGTGCGAAATGAGGCGGTGTGAACCCCAGAGGCAAGCCTATCCACCATCCATCCTCCATCCACATGACTCTGATCGAGGCCGTTCCAATGTGTAACACATCAAAGTCGATATCATCACGAAATCAACTGATCAATTTATGAACATCTGATTAACTCACTTCAAAACATGACCTTTAAATTGACTATGGAATTGTAAGCGTTTACCCAGTATAGTCATTCCCAGTGTAATCGACATGTGAAGTGGACAGAGTTTTTGACTCTTAGGGAAACGCCGCGCATTCGACTTTCTTCCTAGACGTGAAACTCATTTAGAACCATTTTTGGATGAAAAAGTCATTTTGGAGCCAGGCCTCAAAAGGATTATCCCTGCAGGAGACTTTGCAAAGAATCCACCATTATCCAAACCATTGGGTGAATAGTTGACCTGAACATGATGGACCTATGGACTGTACAGCGATGATCCCTGCAAACGATAGGGCGTGACGCGGTACGTATTGGAGTGTAGCCAGGGTGCCCGGATGCCATCAGTGATGGCATCTTGTGCCCAATAGAACTGCTGGGAAATCTGATCTGGCTACGCTCCAAGCCATTCTCCGTCTGATGCCCTATCGTTTGCAGGGATCATGACTGTATAAATGATGGACAGCGCTTTCATTCACTGCGCCGTCTCTACAACATTCAATAATATGTTTGCCATTGAACAAAGCTCCTCACTGCGCATTCAGACTTCGCGATCCGATCGCTCGAGCGTTTGTTGGATTGCGCGCTGCCTTCGCTCGAGCGTTTGGATCGCGCGATCGCTTCTTTGAGGGATCGCATGACGACCGGGGCCCCTCCCCGAAACGGTGCACCTCGGTAACGATCCGATCGCGATCCAAACGCTCAAGCGATCTCATCACCAGATCCAAAGACTAGAGTGATCCCAGAAATCTGAATGCGCTCTTTTGTGCTGCTGAGAC